ATTTATTTAAGACATATCTAAGTAAAATGTAGCATTCATGAAAACAGGGTCTTTGCCACTTTGCTCACTGCCTAGAAAATAATTACTATTCTGTGAACACTCAAATGTGTGTTCACCAGATGAATAACTTGGTTCCAAGTTCCATGAAGGCTGTCAATATATTCCTTTTTTCTTTCAATACCTATACCAGTTCTTGGCTTATTGTAGGTATTAAGGATACCTAAGGATATAAGCAGAGAGCCAGATTTTAATGGTGTTTGTAGGTTGTATTAGAGATTACAGACTATTTCTTAAACAGAATGAGATGTCATTAAAATATATTTAGGAAGAAATAGTTTTAGAATTTCATAGATTTTGTTTTCTATTTCTCTTCATAACGACAATTCCAATCTCTTATTCATTCAATCCTATATTCATAATGTGATACCACAATTTCTCTTCCCCTTAATAAGTACTTTTATAAAATCCAATAATTTATATATATATACCTTAAATATATATATATATATATATATATATGCCACTCTTTATTTACCATTTGAATTACAGCCTTAGTTATTTAAAAATGCGTATTTAGGCTGTTAACCTTATATTTCAATATAGTGTCCATCTAAGTCACTGAATGTCATATAGTCTATTAATTGTGTGATGTTGATCATCTTGTTTATTTAACAAAGTACATGTAATAGGTACTCTTTGATTAAAGACAATTTCCTAGGCTTCTATTTTTTAAGAAGGATATAAATTTTTATTTCTTTCAGTACTCATTTAATCTTCTTGTGAGATAAGCGAGGATTGCTCCCCCCCCCCACCCCATTTAAGAAAAAAACTTTAAACTTAAAGAAATGTTGCAAAGGATTCTATAAAGAGTTCACATTCTTCATCCAAATTTACCAGTAGTAAAGGTTATGGGGCTAGTGTTGTGGTGCCATAGATAAAGTCACTGCCTGAGATGCCACAATCCCATGGGTGCAGGTTTGAGTTCTGACTGCTCCATTTCCAATCCAACTCCCTGCTAATGTACCTGGGAAAGCACCAGAGGATAGGCCAAGTTCTTGGGCTCCTGCATGTACATGAGAGACCTGGAAGATGATCCTGACTGCTGGCTTTGGCCTGACCCAGCCCTGGCCATTGTGACCATTTGGGGAATGAATCAGCAGTTGGAAGACCTCTTTTTCTGTCTCTCCATCTCTCTCACTCTGTAACTCTGTGTGGCAAATAGATAAATGAATCTTTTTACAAAATGTTATTGTGTGTGGCCAGCGCTGCGGCTCACTAGGCTAATCCTCCGCCTTGTGGCGCCAGCACACCAGGTTCTAGTCCAGGTCGGGGAGCCGGATTCTGTCCCAGTTGCCCCTCTTCCTGGCCAGCTCTCTGCTGTGGCCAGGGAGTGCAGTGGAGGATGGCCCAAGTGCTTGGGCCCTGCACCCCATGGGAGACGAGGAGAAGCACCTGGCTCCTGCCATCGGATCAGCGTGGTGCACTGGCCGCAGCGCACCAGCCGTGGCGGCCATTGGAGGGTGAACCAACGGCAAAGGAAGACCTTTCTCTCTGTTTCTCTCTCTCTCTCACTGTCCACTCTGCCTGTCAAAAAATGAAAAAAAAAAGTTATTGTGTTTTCTTCATTATTCTCTCTATAGGCATTTCTGTACCTTCTGTGGGCAAATTACAACCTTTTGCTCTTTTTACTTTTTTTTTTTTTTTTTTGACAGGCAGAGTGGACAGTGAGAGAGAGAGACAGAGAGAAAGGTCTTCCGTTGGTTCACCCCTCAAATGGCTGCTGCAGCCAGTGCGTTGCACTGATCTGAAGCCAGGAGCCAGGTGCTTCCTCCTGGTCTCCCATGTGGGTGCAGGGGCCCAAGCACTTGGGCCATCCTCCACTGCCTTCCTGGGCCATAGGAGAGAGCTGGACTGGAAGAGGAGCAACCGGGACAGAACTGGAGCTCCAACCGGGACTAGAACCTGGGGTGCCAGCGCCGCAGGTGGAGAATTAGCCTAGTGAGCCGCGGTGCCGGCCACAGCCTTTTGCTCTTTTTACCGCAAAATATTTCATTACATGTTTCTTAAAAAAATAAAGGGCTTTCTGATAAGAAATCATAGTAAAATCATCAAAATTATCACATTTAATATTGATATATAACTACATATAATTTATTTTAAATAAAATTGCTTTATGTCAGATACAGAATTTTTCTTTTGTATCTTGCCTGTTGTCCCAATAATGTCCTCTGAACATTTTTTCTGTCAACATAGTACCCAATTCTGGATTATACATTGCATTTAGTAGTCAAGTCTTTTTAACTACTCTTGTCTGGAACAGTTTCTCACCTTTCCTTTGATTTTCATCACAGTGACATTTTTTTTTAACAGTGCAGACAGGATAGGTTTTAGAATTTCTCTTAATTTGGATTTGTCTTTACTTCCTCATGATTATCTTCAATTGTGCATTATTGTCTGAAATACTAAATAAATAATACTATATACTCTTAGTACATCACATAATGAGTTTCATGATATCATTTGATCCCATTATTTGTGATTTTAACTTTGATTACTTGGGTAAGATATCTACCAGGTTTAAACACTACAAATAATTTTTTATTTTCTTACAATTAAAAATCTATGGTAGCCTGCATGAATGCCCTCAAGGCATCCTATTTTTTTTTTTTTTTTGTATTCTCTTTCATCACACAACTTTGCAGTTTTCCCCACCAAGCACAGACTATATTACCCACAAATGGGCCATTTGACTTGCTTGGATTAATGGGTCATTTGCAAATGTGTATCAGCTGAACTTTGAATTGTGCTTTTTATTAGTGCTGCATTGTTGCTTTTTGGAACAATGCAACTATTGCTGGAGACTGTGCTAGCCTGCTGAACCAGGTTGAAGAAAGATGAGTTGTTGAAGTTGCTGTCCTCCTAAGATTGTCAAGCTTGCCAACTACTGAGTAAGTGAATGAGGTTATCCTATACCTTTAACACAGAAAATCTCCCAGAAAATCCACAGTATCTTGAGAAATTCTAGGTGCTTACTGTTTTATGATGGTGTATTAGGCAGCAAAAGCCAATGATTTCTAGGGTGACACTTTGGGACTATATAAACATCTACACATATAACAGTTACACATAAATATGTAATTTTCTCCAGTTAGATAAATATCCTCCTAGATTAAATATTAGGCAGCAATAAAATAAAAAATAAACATTGCAAAAGTGTTATTGCTCCTTTTCCCATAACTGATGAATATAAGGATGAGAACCTTATATGTCGTCCAAGAACATGTGAGGGGACTTGAACAAGTTCTTGGATAAATGGAATTAAATGATAAGTTTGTTTTGATCCAAATAAATGAAGTTCATGTATCTGCTTTCCTTACATGCAAATTCTATGAACTTTTCAAAGAATCCTGTATGCATGGATTAAAAAAGTGCACCAAAATAAACATCTTTTAATTCCATTTCTTCCATTTCCATTAACATCTTGAAGTACCTTTGCTAGTCAATGATTGTACAACTAATTAAAATGTCTATCTTTAACTGTTTGTATATAATTTTTCTCGACATGCCAAATAGAGGTAAGCCACCTAATGGCAGCAGTGGAACTCACAAGAGTGACTAATGACATTTCCAGATTCTTTGATGATATGAATGGGGTCCTGTACCCTCACACATGCCCAGAAGCACCTCAGGTAAGTATTCCATAACTGATGGGCTAGGATGGACAATGTGAAAGGTGGCATGAAATGTAGTTATTGCCATTCCAACGTAGTTGATACTTTATTCATGAAAAGATACAAAGACATCTCTATACATTGCCTTTTTGGGCTATAATAAGAAATGATATTCTAGATTATAATAGTATCATGTTTGTACAATATGGCTGTTAATATTTTGGAAGTAGCTGTTATAGTCTTACCCAATTCTGTCAAATGAACTATAAGAAATATGAAATGACACAGAAAGAAGGAAAGGATTCCTATCATTCCCTTCTTGCAGATAAGAAAATTAAGAGTGAAAAAAGCCAAGGGGGGGAAACTAAGGAAGAGCCAGCAAGGAATGAATGGCCCCATAGCGACTTGAACTCAGCAGAGCCTATTTCCTAGAAGAGTTTCTCCCACATGGCAGTGGGGGATGGGTCGTAACTTTTCCAGATGCTAATCGTGCTGAGTCTTAAGTGTGTGCCTTGTGTCAGGCACTGTTCTAAAAATCCTACGTATATTTTAACTCATTCAGTGTCACGGATTTTCAGTTAATACTACATGTTAACTTAGGCAAACGTTCAGGTACTTGGACGGTGTGTGAGTGTGTGTGTGGCTGTGTGTGCAATACCATAGCTTCCTAAGGAATTCAAAGCTCCATTTTTTTCTGTACCTCTGCCTAAAAAATTTAAGAGTATGAGGAAGCACTCTGCATTCCTTGTCTTGTGGTGCGTTCGGAGGCAGCCGCTGCCAACCGGAACACATGAACTGTGACGGACAAGAGGCTAAACTCTGTCTTTTGTGCTTCGAAGCCAGACACCCCAAGTCCCCCGCAGCAGCTCTGTGCTGGAGAGACACGGCAAGGGTGGGGTTGCTGGAGCTTTCCCCGAGGGCAATCCCTGACCCTCTGCTCCGTTCTAAGAGGCTCCTCGCTGCACTGGGCGAACAAGGCGGACGCAAGCCGGCCTTTGCAATCTGGAGCCCTGGGGCGCCCAGGGGTCGCGTGGCGCTCTCCGGGGAGAGGAGCTGACCCCACACTTGCTCTTGGGGGCCGTGCCTGCCAAGTATCGCGGGACTTGTGCGCATCGCAGGAGCGGCAGCTCCAGGAGCAGCTGGAGCGCGCTCAGTGCGCACCGCCCCAGCCCGGGGAGGAGCGGGAGCAGGGAGGAAGGAGGGCTGGGGGTGCTGGTTACGTAAATGATACTAGCCCAGTGAGAGGCCTCCAGGCTGGGGCTCCGGGAGGGGGAGGGGCCGCGCAAGGAGGAGGGGCCGGCGGGCCGCGGGCAGCGGGCTGGGGTGGGAGGGGGGCGGGGGCCGGGGGCGAAGTGACCAGGCGGCGGCGGCGGCGGCAGCGGCGGCGCCTGTGCTGAGGTGACAATGTGCTAGGAGCCCTCGCTCGGTCCCTGTGCCTCCTCGGCCTCGGCGCCCGCTCTCACCGCGCTCGCTGAGCCCTCCAGCCCGCCGCTGCGCTATGAGGGCGCCTCTCTGGGGCTGGCAGAGGCCGGAGCCGGCTCGCTGCGCTCTCCGAGAAGTGTGAAGAGAGAGGCGCGGGCGGGAGCCAGGGCTGCGCGCGGCGCTCGCGGGCTGGCGCGGGTTCCAGGTGAGCGCGGGCTCGGCGAGCCCGGCCCTCGGCGCTGCCGACCAGCACCTGCGTGGCTTGCTCCGAGGCTGAATCCCGAGAGTGGACCGCCGCTCCCTCTTCGCGGGATCTTTGACCACGACAGCAGGTCTCCGTCTCTCCCTCTCTCTTTTCCTGTGTGTGTCTGGGACGAGTCCCCTCTGGGGTGCTAGAGTTCCGGGACTGGGCGCCGCAAAGTCCCGCAGCGAGTGCCAGGGCGCGGAGCCGAGCCCGGGGCAGGGGCGCGGGCGGACCCTGCGTGGAGATCTCCTGGGAGCTCGGTACGCGCTCGCCGCCAGCTGCAGGTGCGGCGGGAGGCTCGCGGGTCGCGGAACTTTCTGCCGCCACTCGCCTTCTGCTCTGCTTTTTCTGCTACTCGACTGAGCTGCGGGGCTCCGGCCACACTCTGCGCCTTGGTGGTGCTTGGTGGTGGGGATGGCTCGGCCTCTGCGCCCTGGCAACTTTCTCCCACCAGCTGCGGGCAGCCGCGGGCTGCGCCGCGGGCGTTTCTGCTCGGCGCGACACTGGGTATGCTCTGGGGCTGGGCGTCCTCGACGGTCGCTCTCCTCTTTCTGCCTCTCTTGCTGTGCCCCATTCACCTCTCGTTCTCCCCGTGTGTGTCTCTGTCTCTGACTCAGTTTATCTGTTTCTGACTCTCCGGCGCTCGTTTTCCCCATCTTGCCCTCCCCCCTCCATCCCCTCCGCCCCAAGCCGTGGATCCGTTTCTCTTTCATTCTCTTTTCCCCGTGTTTTTCTCGGGATGTCTATATCTCCGTGATTTGATCTTCTCCGCTCGTCTCTCCACGGTACAGCATCGTTTCTGCTTGTGGCTGATCCCTCCTGTCTCTGCCCCGTCTTCCCCAGCGCCAGCCCCCTTGGTCAAGCGAATACGCCTGGCCCACCCTGTGAGCACCCCTAGGTGCAGACTTCTCTGCACGGGGCCGGCGGGGACTTGGGGGTGGAGGCAGTCTGCCGTTGTCGAGGCTGTAGTGGAACTGAGTGAGGTGCTGGAGGGGCAGAGCGAAGGGCGCCGCGCCAGCCTCCGCTTCCCGGGTCCGAGGGCGCTGCGCTGCCGGGAACTCTGAGGCTTCTGGTCTGGCCAGCGAAAGCTGCGAGGGCTCCTCCCCTACCCGGTTCTTTGACTGTGGTTAGTTGCATTGCCAGGTGGAGAGCGTGTGTATCTCCAGCTGAACAGGCAGCCGCAGGAGAGCACACACAGTGGGCAGGCAAACAGAGGCTTCGGCATTCAGGGAAAACTGTCCTCGAATGGATGGGGGCTTTAATGAGGCGAAGGTGCAGAGGAGCTTTGGAGGCACGCTTGCCTTAGTCTGCCCTACACTCAGCCCAGAGGAGAGCGAGGTCGCCGTCACTCTTCCTAAAAACAACAGAGAGTGTATTTGCAGGGCTAGGCACTTGGTCGCCATGTCCCTTTGAAAATTCTGCTTTGCTTGGGGTCCCCAGATTTTCGGCTTTATGTGAAAGCTGCCTTTGCTCAAGGTCCCCTGTCCTCTCCCTCTTGTCGTTTGCGTTCATGCCCTCTAGTGTTAAAGAAACATGCTGGTTTGAGCATATTGAAAAGTAAGGTCAACCTATGGATGACAGACATTGGACCTCTCACTTTCCAGGTATCACTTCTGTGTTACCCCCATCCGTTCCTTTTCCTCAATGACTTTTACCTTGCTTTGCTAATCTTTCTTTTCCCCTGATCTCAGCAAACTCCTCCTCTCCTGCAGAATTACAACCTTACGGTTGAAAGCTTGTTCCTTTTCTTCAGAGTTGGGAAGATCTGGAGAATTTTCATAGCCTAAGGCAGGCTTTTTTTTTTTAAACATTTAAATAATGCATGTTTCTGTACTGTTTCCATAAACCAGGATTTCATATGTCTTGCTTATGCCTCTACCCACCTTTAACTCTACTGAGAATTTCCTTGGCTGCTCCAGCTTGTTAAAATAAATGTTTTTAATTCACATTTCTGTGAGGCTTACCCTATTCCTGAGTTTAAGCTACTTGTGTTAAGTGGGACACTGTGTCTCAGGTCAGGTTTGGAGAGGAAGAAGTGAGAGCTATTACAAAGAATTCATGGGTGCTGCTGGTGTAGATTGATTCTGGATTGAAAAGCTTCCAGTGGGACGGGATGCTGTCCCAGATATACAGACCCAAGGGCAATGTGGGAAGCTAGTAAGTGCTTAATAAAAACTTGTTGGTTGACTGATTAACATGCAGCTGATTGTAGGTTTGCAAGTTGCCCAGCTATGCTAATGAGCCACATACTCGAAGTTGAATCCTACTTTCTCTTTTTCTGTTTCTTTCAGTCTTTTATGAATGGGAATTAAAGACTAGTAGAAGGGTTGTTGAAACAGGAATCTTCTGCATTTGTCTAGTTTCTCTCACTGCTTGACTTTCTCCTTCCCTGCAAGTCCTTAACTTGGCTGATGTTCTTTGAAGAAATGAGTTTGCAGGCTCTGATGGGTGGTATCTGTCAGCCTTCCTCCTTGAATGTGAACTGGGACATGACATAATTTTGGGGTGCACATTTTTGAGTGTTTTTTAAACAAGTGAAATGCTGTCTCTTTTAATATAAAGAACAGATGTATCAGCTTAAAATATTTTGGAGGCTATAAATTGATCTGTAAACTGAATCACTTACTCTAAATAATTTATAGTTTCCCTTGCTGCTTCAAATATATATGAGAGGTGTGATACTACATGCATATGAGAATTTGCCAAAGTACCTTGAAATTTAATGCCTTCTGATTCAGAGCCCTAGTGGTAATCCATGGATGTTATATTGCTTTTGTGTTGACTTGCAAGTTACCTTATAAAGTTGTTGTTGATTTACCATGAATATTGTGCAGGAGCATATTTAGGACTATTTTGATTTAAAAATGTTACTTGTAAGTCATTTGATACCCCCTTTACCCATTCTTTTCTACTTAAGAATTTAGAAGTAATCATGGTGAAGGTGGAAATTCTGTTACTAGTTGATGCCTTCAAATTGCTTCCTAATTTAGCTTAAAAGTTTAACTTTTTAGCTTAATGTTATTCATCTCAGGAGAAGCACTTATGTCAGAATGAAGTATGTTTCCATCATGAAAACTTGTATTTTAGAAATATTTATTTCTTTGAAAGAGATGCAGAGAGAGAGGGTAAGACACACACACACACACACACGCATGCACGCACGCACATGGGCGGGGTGGTGGTGGAGAGAGATTGAGGGAGAGATATCGTGGCCACAAGGGCGAGAGCTGGGCCAGGCGGAAACCAGGAGCTTCATCCAGGTCTCCCATGTGGGTGCAGGGGCCCATGTACTTGGGCCATCTTCTGCTGCTTTCCCTGGCACATTAGCAGGAAGCTTGATTGAAAGTGGAAAGCCAGAACTCAAACCAGTGCCCATATGGGATGCCTGAGTTGCAGTTGGTGGCTTAAGTCACTGTGCCTCAACTTAACCCACTCTGCTGCCCCCAGAAACTTGGTTTTTAGAAGTGGCAGTTCTAACAGGAACATTTTTATGTAATGGATTGTGAGATTGTGAAAATGTTGGATTTTAGAAATAGTATGAGATAATAATTTTATTCTTTGTACTTGGACAAATGAAGAGGATACTCATGTTTCTGAATAACAATAATAGGGAAGGGAAAGACTGAATATAAAGCGTCAATACAATTAAGTATTATTTAAAATAAATGTCAGTTCTACATGTCTCTGATAGGTGTTCATTGTGCTTTATGAAGACAGTGACTACAGTTGTGTCCTTTACCTAATTTTCCTTTTTAGACATCATATTGTCAGTGACATCTCTTACAGTGAACACATCCTTGACTGTGACTTTTAATACAGCACCTGCTTGGATTTGTGTCCCTGTCAGTAAGAACATGTGGACATCTTAAATCTAATGGGATCTAAGGGGATCACTACTTGAAGTCTGAGTGACCATATGCCTAATTAATCAAAGGATTTTGACTGGACTTTGGTTTTCCATTCTTCTGCTCTTGTCAGCAAAATAATCATCTGTGAAACATCACATCAATAACTAAATCTAGATAGACTTATTTACTTTGATTATCTACTTGATAATAGTGCTTAAAGCAACTTCCCTTCTCCTCACCACACACACACACACACACACACAGTATATAATTGAAACCACACATCATATTTAGAGATCTGATACTGTCTGCTTTGATAAACCACTTATCATTTTAATAGATTGCATTTCTATTTACAATAGAAGGCATATTGTTTAATTAAGAACTTCTGCCACTCAGTTGCCGCACTAAATTTTTTTGCAGGGGTTAGCTTTCCATTGTGGAACTGGGACTTCAAGGGCATATGTGTCAATGAATACATATATTAATTCAGTAATAGCTGGCTATCCATTGGGGGATTATAAACAGTTATCTTTGGGAGAAGTATAAGCCAAACCGATGTTATTCATTTTACATTTATTTCTCCTTGATTCATAGTTTGACCATTGTTTCAGTTTTGGTGCAGTATGTTTATGGTAATATAAGGACTTGATTATACTTGATTACCAGTACATGACTACCAGTGACCTGATTCTAGGTAATGATCTAATATTCCTGAATGCATTTTTTTTTTGCTTTGACTTTTCCAAGTCTGTGTTCCCTACAATGTCTTGGGGAGTATTTATTTAAGCTGAAATTTTTAACTTTTAAAAGTTATTACTATAGATTACTGAGAGGTTGATGGGGCTTAAAATTTAAATTATAAGTTAAAGGAAGAAATGCTATTTCTCTGAGGGGCCAACTTCTCTTTAATGTCCACATAATTTTACTCTCAATGAACCATAAGGCTCTCTCTCAATCTCTGTTCTACTACAGTTACCTGCACTTTATAGTACACCTGTGGGGCTCCATGGGATGCGCAGCCATGGAGCCCCCACGTCAAGGTCGGTCTGATAGCTGTTGCTGTGTCTTTATCACAAGGCGAATGTTGCTAGTTTCAGTTAGGGCAATGCTTTCCCACGGTCGGGACGTTCCAGAGGAGTTGAGAATGTTGTAAACAACAAGATGGCGCCAAGGACCGTGCAGTGAGCCTGCCTGCTGCGTGACACCTCATCTGATTGGCCCGAGGACGCGTGCACAC